CTCTCTCTCTCTCTCTCTCTCTCTCTCTCTCTCTCTCTCTCTCTCTCTCTCTCTCTCTCTCTCTCTCTCTTCTCTCTCTCTCTCTCTCTCTCTCTCTCTCTCTCTCTCTCTCTCTCTCTCTCTCTCTCTCTCTCTCTCTGACTGATATATGAATGTTGTAAATATCATATAAAATTGCATATTCCTGCCTGCACGCATTTATAATCCTTATGTTGTAGGGTCATTATCATTATAAAAAATTATCATCACTAGCATAAATTTTCGCTTGCAAGCTGTGATTTTGGAGCCTTCTGGAGTCAGCCTGTGGGAATATATCGCCTTTGAGATACACAGAATAAGTTGCACATAGAAATAATAAAACTGAGAGAAAGGGGAATGGAGGAGGGAAAGAGAGAGAAAACAATAGTGTTTCATTGCTTTATTTTATCAGTTCTATCTTGCCATTTCCTTTATCTGTTTGGTATGTCATCATTATCGACTTCTTCCAATTCACAGCTTTTTTTTTTATCTTCTGCGCTCATTTCAATGTCTTTTTCTCTCTTTCTGTTTTCTCTTCTTCGTTTTTCTCGTCTGTCTCTTTATTTATGCTTCCTCCTCTGACACTTTATTTCTTCTTCTTCTTTGTATTTCTCTTCTATTTCATATTCATGGTCTGCATTAATAATTATCAAAAATGGTAATGATAAAAATAATGATATTGATAATAATGACGATAATGGTATATGATGTAATAATTATGATAATCATATAGATAGTCATGATGATAATGATGATAATGATGATTATGATGATAATGATGATAATGATGATAATGATAATGATAATAATGATAATGATAATAATGATAATGATAATAATGATGATTTTAATAATAGTAATAATGATGATAATAATGATAATAATAATAATAATAATAATGATAATAATAATAATAATAATAATAATAATAATAGTAATAATAATAATAATGATGCTACTACTACTAATAATAATGATATTGATAATAATAATAATGATAATAATAATGATAATAATAACGATAATATTAATAATGATAATGATAAAAACAATAATAATAACAATAACAATAATAATGATGATGATGATAATAATAATAATATTTATAATAATAATAATTTAGATGATAATATTAACAGTGATAATAATAGTAAAAACAATAACAATAAAATGGAAATAACGATAATATATATACATACATATATATATATATATATATATATATATATATATATATATATATATATATATATATGTATATATATTGTATATATATATATACATATATATATATATATATATATATATATATATATATATATATATATACATACATATATATATATATATATATATATACACACATATACATAAATGGCCAAGAATCATTGCACATTGCCAAAGAGCGTGGCATGACCTTGTGCGCTTACGGAGTCTAAAAGCACAAGCGCCGGTGCGATGGTCTTCCTTACCTCTGCACATGATTCAAAACTGAAACCGTTCGCTCTGCACTTGGATGTTTTTGACATGAAGACGGCCATTTGCGCCCCCAAAAAAGCCAAGCTGTCCCTTTACTTCAAGGATCAATGCCATGTAGTTTATTTTATTTCAAGGATCAATACCAAGCAGTTTATAAGGACGCCATGCCCCCTCCCCCCCTGTGGCGCCGCCCCTGCCCTGAGCGCCTTTGATGAACTGGTCTGTTATCTGTCCATCAGCGCCCCGTGCAAGGTCATTCGGCCCTTCGCTATAAAGATGCTTTTTATGTTTTACTTTGAGTGGCGATTTAATATTTATGGGTTTTAGCTCATCATTACTTCTTATTTATCTATCCATTCATTATCTTCTCTTTATGTGTGCCTTGCTTTTATTTGCTCTTTTTTATTCACTTGGGCGAGCCAGAGCTACGGAATTATCGCCCTTATTGTTGCTTTCATTCATTATTATTCGTCTGGTCACATATTTTAAGGTCTTCGCCGCGATATTTGGGCTTGAATGAATACCAATAACTTTGAGTTCGTCAGGATTTGTTTATTTTCAAATCAAATTTAGTTTAAACCAGCTGGGAAAACCTGCCAAAAAAAAAAACAGCCAAAGTAAATCGCCGCACCCATAAACAATGAGAAGAGAGAGAGAGAGCATAAACCCATTGAAATTTATCCGCAGTCCTTTGCCGTGCTTCACCGTAAATCCTGCTGGTATCTCTCGCCATCCTTTCCTCAGGTGTTTTGCGATCACAAGCATCTTCCATTATTAACTCTTCTCACAAATCTTACTCTCATTTTTTTCTGGTGTGTGGATTCCGGGAAAATGCTCTTTGATCACTGCCGGCTTATAAAAGACAGGATCTGATTGCATATAATTAACAACAGAAAATATAAGTAAATGAAAAAAAGTGCTTAAATATACTACCCTCCAAGGACAAGCTTTCCATCGGTATACAGAAAACGGGAATCCCCCCTGCGCACAAAACCGAGAATAATACAAGCAAAGAAAGACAAAATACGTTTTCAATTTGTTGGAGGATGATTTAAGATGTCAAAACACACGGGAAATACACCATAATTCTTCGAGTTTGGGCCAGAAACATAAATGGTGATATGGGCCTTTAAGAAGATATATTGAATGAAACGAAATGCATAGAAACATATACAGTGTATGTGTGAATACGATTGAGATAATAATTTACGTAACATAGTAGTTATTGATTGATATTCATACGCTGTAATACAACGAAGATAACCCATTTCAGACTTTTTTTTCTAAATATTTGTGTTTCACTGTATTACCCAGGCTTTTTCATTTCGTTCAGCTGTCTTTCTTTATTTATAACTCATCATTTATCCCTCTCCTTGCGACTTCCACATCATTTTTCCCCTCTAAGTAGTTCTCTCATTTTCTTTTCATATCTCATCGTACTTTCTTATTTCTTTACAGCATTCATCACCCCCCCCCCTCTCTCTCTCTCTCTCTCTCTCTCTCTCTCTCTCTCTCTCTCTCTCTCTCTCTCTCTCTCTCTCTCTCTCTCTCTCTCTCTCTCTCTCCCTCCCTCCCTCCCTCCCTTCCTTCCTCCCTCCCTGCCTCCCTCCCTGCCTCCTCTCTCTCTCTCTCTCTCCTCTCTCTCTTTTTCCTCTCTCTCTCTCCTCTCTCTCTCTCTCTCTCTCTCTCTCTCTCTCTCTCTCTCTCTCTCTCTCTCTCTCTCTCTCTCTCTCTCTCTCTCTCTCTCTCTCTCCAACTTTCTTCACAGGTCGTCCCCTATTTACAACAAACTCTCACCATATTTTCTCTCGTGATTTCCTTCTGTCCGTCTTTCACCACAACGATCAACTATTCTGCTTCCTCCATTTACCCCCGTATCTTTCCTTCTCTCTTTACCTCTCATCCTCTCCTTCTCTCCTCCCTCCATACCTCACCCTCTCTCTCTCTCTTCCCTCCACCTCTCATCCTCTCCTTCCCTCCTCTTTCCACCTCTCATTCTACCATTCTTCATCTTCCTTTCTTCCTCCATTTTTCACCCAATATTTTTCTCCATCTTCCACCTCTCATCCTCTCCTTCCCTCCGTCCTCTTCTCCACGCACAACTCCTTCCCTCCTCCCTCTCTCTCTCTCCTTCCTTCCACCTTCTTCCCTCTTGTCTCTTCTCCCTCCCCCTCTCCTTTCCTCCTCCCTCATCTCCCCCCCTCCTTCCCCTTCTCCTCTTCTACTTCCCTCCTCCCTCTTCTCTCCCACCTTTCCTTCACCTCCCCCTTATCCTCCCCTCCTTGCTTTTCTCCCCGTCTCCTACCTCTTCTCCCTCTCCTGCCCTCCTCCTCTCCTTCCCTCCTTCCTCTCTCCCCCTCTCCTTCCCTCCTTCCTCTCCTTCCCTCCCCCCTCTTCTCCCCCCCCCTCTCCTCAGAACGGAGAGCCAGGCGTCCGACCAGCGCCAGGAACCCGCGATGCAAAAGTGGAACACGAGCCTCCCCGGCGTATCAAGAATATAACTCTACACGAGCGAAGGTTATAATTCAAGGAGAGAGATAGACGCAGAGTTTTTTTTTTTTCTTAAGATAAGAATCTCGCCTCTTTTTATGGTGTGGGGTCGATAACGGGGGAGGAGAGTGCTATGTCGCCTTCTCGCGCCGATTTTAACCGCTGTTTTTAGGTTCGGGGTTGATCGCTCGTTCGGTCATTGGCTCTCTCTTTCTCGCTCGTTCACTCTTAAGCGTGTTCGTTAATTCGCTCATTCGCTCTTTCATTCGTTCGCTTTTTTTGTACTTTCGTTGGTTTCGTTAATTCGCTCGTTCGGTCATTGGCTCTTTCGCTCGTTCCCTCTTTCACTCGCTCGCTCTTTCGCTTGTTCGCTAATTCGCTTGTTCGTTAAATTCCCTCGTTCACTCTTTCGCCCGTTCGCATATTCGCTATTTCGCTCGTTCGCTTTTCTCTCGTTTAACTAGCCGTAGCTGGATTGCTGTTTGAAGTTTCACTTTTGCTTCGACTTTCGGGAAGAGTATAGTCAGTCTTTATTTATTTATTTTTATTTTTTTGTTAGTTGTATACCGTTTGTTATTTTACTGCTTTTGATTATCATTGTTTGATGTTTTCTTTGTTCGTTATTTCATTGTTTTTATATATTTTTTTGCTTTATTTCTCTCTGTTACATGTGAGACATTATTGTATTAATTAAGCATTTCAAAATCTTTATCTTTCTCTCATCTTCTCTTCCCGCTATTTCCCACCCTATCTTCTCTCCCTTCCTCCCCCTTTCCACTCCCTTCCTGTTTCCCTCTTCCCCCTTTCCCTTCTCTCCCTCTCCCACTTCCCTCCTTCCTTCCTTCCCTCTTCTCCCCTCCATCCCTCCCTTTCCCCTTCCTCCCATCCTCTTCTCCCCTCCCTTTCCCCTTCCTCCCGTCCTCTTCTCTCCTCCCTCCCTCCCTCCCATCCCCTTCGCCCCTCCGCACACCCACCCACCGCCCATGCTCTAACCCGCGTGTGTCTCCCCGCAGCGCTGCTCCACCTGCGGCCCATCGACGGCGGCGGCTTCATCGAGATCAGCAGCGAAGCGACGGGACTCTTCCTCTGCATGAACAAGCGAGGCAACCTCTACGCCAGCGTAAGTTGGGGCGCTTGGCTTCGTCTTCCTTTTTTTTGCAGGCATTCTAGCAGTTACAGTTTTTTCGTATTTTTCGAATACATATGTGTATTTGTAGACAGAGAGACATACATACGTTTGTGAGTATGTGTGTGTGTGTGTGTGAGCGCGTGTGTAAATATAAATATATGTAAAAACGCGCGCAAGTGCGCTCGTAGATACACACCCTTGTATTCTTTTATTTTCACACACTATGTATTATCGCATTCTTTTTTACGCGATGCTAATAATGAATTCATACGATGTGAATATATATGGACTAGTTGATTAAATTCATTATTAAAGCTCAGATGAGGGGGGGAGGGAGATAGTGAGGCGTAAATATTGCAGAACCATAACTATATATATATATATTCATACTGATATATACATGCAGACACACACACGCACACACACACACACACACACACACACACACACACACACACACACACACACACACACACACACACACACACACACACACACACCTATTCTTGTGTGTGTGTGTTAATTTCTTCCTCTTCCAATCTTCCCCTCTTTGCCTCCTCCCTACCTCTCCCTCCCGCCCTCTCCCGCCCTCTCCCTCCCGCCCTCTCCCTCTTTCCCTATCCATAAAAATCTCTCACTCGTTCCCTGTGGAAGTGACTTTCTCTCGCCGCGCCGTGTTAGATCGCCGACGGGAAGGGCGGTTCTGATACCCATCTTTGATCTGGTGAACTCAATGTGTATTTAACTCTTTTCTCTTCTACCTTTTTTTATTCTCTTTTTTTTATCTATTTATCTTTTTTTTTTTTTTTTTTTTTTTTTTTTTTTTTTTTTTTTTTTTTTTTTTTGCTAGGGTTTCGGTTTGATTCGGATGTTAGTTATGGAATATTATTTATTTACGTTAATAGTGATACGTTTTCCTAGCCTTTCGTCGTCTTTTGTTTATTGTCATATTCATTTACATTCCCTATAAATCTGTTTCTTTCTCTCTGTCTGTCTGTCTCTCTCTGTGTCTCTCTCTCACTGTCTCTCTCTCTCTCTCTCTCTCTCTCTCTCTCTCTCTCTCTCTCTCTCTCTCTCTCTCTCTCTCTCTCTCTCTCTCTTATCTTTCTCGCAATTTTCTCTTTCTTTCTCGCTCTTTTCTCTTTCTCTCTCGCAATTTTCTCTTTCTTTCTCGCTCTTTTCTCTTTCTCTCTCGCTCTTTTCTCTTTCTCTCTCGCTCTTTTCTCTTTCTCTCTCGCTCTTTTCTCTTTCTCTCGCTCTTTTCTCTTTCTCTCCCGCTCTTTTCTCTTTCTCTCTCGCTCTTTTCTCTTTCTCTCTCGCTCTTTTCTTTCTCTCCCGCTCTTTTCTCTTTCTCTCTCGCTCTTTTCTCTTTCTCTCTCGCTCTTTTCTCTTTCTCTCTTGCTCTTTTCTTTTCTGTCTGTCTATTTATCTGTCTGTCTGTCTGTCCATCCATCCGTCCGTCTCTCTCTCTCTCTCTCTCTCTCTCCCTCTCCCTCTCCTTCCCTCCCTCCCTCCTCCCTCCCTCTCTCTCTCTCTCTCTCTCTCTCTCTCTCTCTCTCTCTCTCTCTCTCTCTCTCTCTCTCCCTCTCTCCCTCTCTCCATCCCTTCCTCTCTCCCTCTCCCTCTTCCTCCCCGTCTCGTCCCCCCCCTCTCTCTCTCTCTCTCTCTGTCTCTCTCTGTCTCTCTCTCTCTCTCTCTCTTCTCTCTCTCTCTCTCTCTCTCTCTCTCTCTCTCTCTCCCCCTCTCCCTCACCCTCAACCTCTTCCCATCTGTCTCTTCCTCCCTCCCTCCCTCCCTCCCTCCCTCCTCCTTCTTCCTTCTCCGATGCTCACAATCCCTTACATTTTTCCGCCTCAGTTCCTTGTTATTTTCCAGCCCATTTCTCACTGTCATTTCTCTCAATTTCTTCAGCAATGTTGCCCATATTTTCCAGAATATTGCAGATTGCATGAATGGATAACAATGCCCTGATTTACGGCTGCAACTTGATTGCAACTGGTAAAAAATGGTAATAAAGTTCGGGAGAGAGGAGAGGGGAGATTACGAAGGGGAGAAGGGAGGGAGACGTTGGAAGGGGGGGAAGGAGTCGGATGGGAGGGGGAGGAAGAGGGATGGGGAGGGAGAGGGAGGAGAAGGAGAGGAGGAGAGGGAAGAAGGACTGAAGGAAGGGGGATGGTGTATGAACGAGTTGAAGAGGTGGCAGAGTGAAGGGTGGAGGGATGGCAGAGGAAAGAGGGAAGAGGAAGAGGAGGGAATTGAGAGGGAACGAATAAAGAGGAGGTAAAGATCCAAAGGAAACAACGAAGTGAATTTTAGTATGAGAGAGAGAGAGAGAGAGAGAGAGAGAGTAAATGAGAAAGAGAAAGTCCAGAAGAGGGAAAAGAAAAGTGGGAGGGAAAGGGGAAGCAAGGCAAAAGGTTAGAAGGATGAGGAAGGGAGAGAAAATGTGAAGCAAAGGAGTGATGATGGGTAGGAAGGAGAGCGAAAAAAGATGAAAAGGAAGGGAAACTGTCAAAAAAAAATATTGAGTAAGCTATGGACAGAGATAAAGGAGAAATCTATCTATCTATCTCTCTATCTATCTGTCTGTCCATCCATCTATCCATCCATCCATCTATCTATCTAGTTACCTCTATGTATGTATGTATGTAGAGAGAAGAGAGAAAGAATTACTAGGCAGTAGACAATAGGCAACAGATAATAAGTAATAGTTAATAGGTGGCGGGTGAGGGGCCGTGATGGATACCTGGCTGCGTTCACACTCGGCCGCCCGTCTCGGTAGGACCTAATGGGTTAATGGGGCTCCTGCGGGGAGGATTCTCAGGATTCTCGGCAATAATTCCCCTTTTTTTGTGACGAGGTTGTGACTGGCAGTTTTTTTTTTTTCTTTCTTTCTTTTTCCTTTTTTTTTTTTTTTGGTTATTTCAGTTGGTATCTTGTTAATGGGGTAACGTGACGATTTTTTTTTTTTTTTTTGCGTGTGGCACTCTTGCGGTCTGTTTTTTTTGTTGTTGTTATTATTTTTTTTGTTTTTGTTTTGATTAGGTGTTTATTTTGCATTGATGATAATGGGCGAATAGATTAATGGGTATCTCTTTTTCTTTCTGGCATTTGATGCTTCAGGCGTCTAATGGGCTTATGGGTATCTGAAGGGCATGGACGCTTCTGATTTCGACTTTTGCGGTTTTTTGTTGTCTTTTGGTAGCGCTTACTAAGTGTAGTTTGTTTACCAGTGGTTAATGGGTTAATGGGTTTTGTTTTTATTCATTTGGCTGAGATTTTTTTTATTATTTTTATTTATTTAGTTATTTTTATTATTTTTTTTTTTTGAGGAGGTGAGGAGGACTGTTGGTGCATTTCTTTATCTTCTCATTCTTTTTTTTTCTATTCGGTCTCTCTTATTTTTTTTCTCTTAAGCCTCTTACCCATCTCGTTTTTTTCCTTCCTCCCTCACACTCTACTTCTCTTTTACTTCCTTCCTTCCTCCTCCTCTTCCTCCTCCTCCTCCTCTTCCTCCTCCTCCTCCTCCTCCTCCTCCTCCTCCTCCCCCCCCCCTCTTCCTCATTCCCCCCTCCTCCTCATTCTCATCCTCCACCTCCACCACCTCCTCCTCCTCTTCCTCCACCTCCTCCTCTTCCTCTTCCTCCTCCTCCTCCTCCTCCTCCCCTTCCTCCTCCTCTTCCTCCACCTCCTCCTCCTCCTCTTCCTCCTACTCCTCCTCCCATTCCCCCCCCCTCCCACTCTTCCTCCTCCCCCCTCCTCCTCCTCGTCCTCCTCTTCCTCACCCCACCTCCCCTTCCTCCCCCCTTCTCCTCCTCCTCCTCTTCCTCCTCCTCTAAAAATAAAATATTTGTTTGTACTTGTATCTGCAAACGACCCATTTTACAAGTACCCGTCCATGTGTTTGAGGGACCGTGTATTTCTGTGTGTGTGTGTGTGTGTGTGTGTGTGTGTATGTGTGTGTGTGTGTGTGTGTGTGTGTGTGTGTGTGTGTGTGTGTGTGTGCGCGGGGGTTGACTCACGCCCGGCCCTCCCTTCGGCCACTTTTTGCCCCTGCAGCATTCCGGTGTTTGGCGGCGGTGACAACCCTCGTCATACGCGATTCTCCCAGACGTTCCTGGGCTGTGCGGTTCCTTTCTCCACGGGCGCTCGGAATACGGCCGAGACGCCCCTCACGCCGCCTCTCCCTCGGGATGTGTGTGGGGGGCGCGGGAGGCGGTGTTTGTGGGTGGGTGAGTGGGGAAGTTGGGTGTGTGGGTGTAGGGTTGGTGTGGGTGTGTGTCTTGGTGGATTGGTGGGTGAGTGAGTGGATGTTTGTGTGTGGGTGTGTATGTAGGTGTGTTTGGGTGTGGTTGTGTGTGTACGTGTGTTATCCTTCCCTCTTTCCTTCCTCTCTTTTTAATTCTCTTGCCGTTCCCTCCTTCCTTCCCTCGGCCTCATTCCTCCGTCCCCTCCTTCCTTCCTTCCTCCCTCCTACACTTGCCAATCCTCATACCTCCCTCCCATCCCTTCCCCCATTCCTCCTCCCTTTCCTCAGCCCAATCGCCAGATATCAGCCTCATCTCACCTCCTCCGCCCTTCCCCTCTCACCTCCCCCCCCCCTCTCCATCCTGCGGGTCGACCTCCCGCGTCCCTTCGATCTGATCTGAGGTCGACCCCATAAAAGCTATATCTTAATGTTCATGTTTATGAGCTTCGCGACGACGTGTGTGCGAGACGCGACACGAGACCGGTAGTCCCGCCCGGCTGCGGCTATCGGCCTCTGTCACCCGCTGTCACCACGCCCTTGTAATGGCGATAAAGGCTACCTGGCTACAGAGGCTACCCTCCCCCTCCCCCTTCTCCCGGTGACTACTACCTAGCCACCCTCTCCTCGCTCCCCGGGGCCTGACTTCCATCTCATGTATGGGCAGCAAAACGCTTTGGAAAATGTGAAGGGAATGGCTTGAGCGTTTTATGTGAAGGGCAAGTAATGGCAAACACACATATAC